TCCATCAATATTTACTCCTCTGTGCATCTTCAGCTACAAAGCATACATTCTTCAATTTCATAGCACAGACCTTGATTTCTGTGAATTCACTGCATTGCTTGAGAGATGGGAAAAGGATTTCTTGGATTGCTTGGGAATATTTCACTCCTTTGATTCATTTTCCTTTATCAGGTAACCAATGCCTGCACTACGGCAATCCTAGCTCCTTGAACCGATTAATAACACTCAGTACCACTGAAGGTACACTTTATCCATATGTTTCTGAATAGGCATATGTCACTATCACATATAGCAATACCTTTGACACCATGCTGAAGACTTTCCACGAATTAGCACAAATATGCTTTTAACACAGATTATGACTTCCAGAATTCTTGCTTACTCAGAAAGTTTGGGTTATTTTCATCTGAAAGATTTACTCTGAAATGCTGCTAACAGTTTTTAACCACAAAACACAATTTTAATGACCTCTACTTGAAATCATGACTGTATTGTTAAATTGGACAATCATACCAAGTTACTGCTTCTCACCATATTTGTAAAGGACCAATGGTGGATGCCTGACATTTTCCATATCACAAAAGAGAAACTGTTTCCAGCCAATGAACGTGATATTTTCATAGTTGTTAAGTTAACAGCCACCAGATTTTTTTCTATGAAAAACAATTTTGTCATTAAAAAAAATTATATGATAAAAATTCTAATGGTATTAAATCAGATAGCTTTCTTTTGATGAAATTTCCTTATGTACTTCACTCCTGCCCCCAACACTGTAGCATAATACAACAGTTAAGATAACGGAAGATATCATTTGGAATGTAAGTATGATGAAATGTAAAGTAAAAGCATTGCTGAGGTACAAATAAGTTCTCAGGCTTCTGCTTTAATTTTTGTTCATTCTAGAGAGGTGTATATTGACTGTACATGTTTGTATTTTTGATTATGTGACGCAGTAACAGTTTATTACTGACTCATGATTTTCTAAACATTTACTGACATGTATTAAAATTTTACCTGCAAAAGCCTGACACCAGAAACTTGTATTCTATCACATATCAAGGAGTCTCAGTCAAGTCAAATAACATTACTCAGTTTAGTATTAGCTGGATGCACTACACTTTGATGACAAATAGGTTTTGCTATGGTGGGATAAGGTCTTAAGTCTGTCAAAATCGGTAGTTCTCCCTTATCATACTTTCTTTAAATAGTCAATGTGTTCATTGACATATTTTAGGATATCAATGTTACATATTCCAAACAGAGTTGCATTTACTTTTCCTGGAATAACTTGTGAAATAATTTTCCTTTGAGTTAATGAGTTTATAAAGATTTCATGTACTCATTTATTCAATTAAGGAGAACTTTCTTAGTTATTCAGACTATTTGTATATATTACTTAATAAGCTCTCTCAGAAATACTCCAGATAGGATTTGTTTGATCACACTTTTCTAATTCCTTACAAATATTTTAGTGATGCTAAAAAAATAGAGTAACTATGTAACATCATATAACGTATTATTTCTCATTCCTGACACCAAGAGAAAACTACACAGAAAAACTTGCTCAAATACCTTGGCTTCAGGGTTTTGTGGAGTGCCTTTTCTTGAAAACATAAAATATAAAGCTTTTAGTATGATTTCCAACTACAAGTTTAAATATTACTTTTTCAATAATGGAGTACCTGGGTATGACCAGTTTAATGTCACTTTCACGATTCAAATTGTTGAGACCACAAACTTGGCTTTTGTGTATGTACAGGTACTATGTTCCCAGAGTAAAAGTAGGTGTTATGACATTGGTTTTTTGCCACAGTGGTTTTTCCGTATTTGCATATCAGATGCATTATATGCAGAATTGACTAACTTGTAATTGCTTTAAACTTTACAAATCAGTTTAACAAAAATTAAATTGCAAGAAGAAATAAATTTCCTTTTTTAGTTAAACAGCACAATAATTTTAGTGCATTTTCTGTCCTCTTTTTGTAAAAAATACAGCGAAGTACACCTTCTATGCTCTTAACTCTCTCACAGGATGCTTTCAGAAGTGGGACAGATGGAAGGAAGACTCTGACAAATGCTCATTGTAAGTTTCTTTTATACCTATGTTTGCCTTTATAAAATAGAGGTAAAAAAGTTATCAACTCCAAACCCTCCCATTTCCAGTTCAGAGGGAAACATCCAATGAGAGCTCCAAAGCAACAAATGCTCAGTCTCCTGTACATTGTTCTGATGTAAGGCAGCATGGCTATGAATGCTCAAGAGGATTTAAATCAAGATTTGAAGTACAGAAAGTTATTATTTGCGATAGGACATGACCAATAGGACATGACCAATGACTGTAATGTACAGGCACAATAGCTGAAGTTACCCCAAAGCTAGTTGTGCTTCCACGGGATGGGGTGATTGACAGCCCCTGTGACTGTCCAGTGCTTTGGGATGCAGCAGGCAGTAAGTTGCGTATTTTCAGAAGCTCTTTGGCCTCCCTTTCAATGTGGGGTGGGTAAGAAACACAGCAGTGCCCGTACACCCCAGGCACATTGCACTGACTGCATCCAACTGCACCTCGGAAGGATCGCAGCTCTGCTGGGAAAGTTTGGAGGAAGAGCTCACATGTACAAGACAGAGAGCTTCCTCCTTCAAACCTAACAACAAAACAACTACACCTTTGCAAGAAGGCTTACAGTTCTCTAAAAGCACAAAAAATCACAGAAGCTCACAATCTGTGAACTGTGATACTCATTAATTTCCTTTATTTGGAAAGCCACAAATGCAATGGACAGATGATCAATGAACATACAATGTTCTTATTCATTTGAGAGGGTGGTCAAGCACTGCTGTCATGTCAATTTAAAGATGATGCAAAGCATCAGTTTAGTAACCTCTTGCACATGAGTTTTGTACAAAGATGAAAGTTGCATGTTTGTTGTTTTCTCCTCCCTCTATCCCAGCCCTTCTCCCCCACCTGTAAATTCCCTATTGAGCAAGCATAAATATAATGCAAATATAAATTTGCATTCTAGGGCCAGAGCTACAACTTTTCACGAACATTAGGTGACAGCACAGGTTAAGGGGTAGCAGTGCTGGTGGCAGTGCATCCCACACACGATGCCGCCAGGTGTGCAATGAGATCTGTCTCCCTCTCCCTGCCCAGCACCGCTCGGCCATCCTAGGCCTTGTTTAAAAGGAAAAGGTCAGAGAAGAGGGAGGACATTTCACTTCACCCTTGCCAAGAGGGTATCCTGCACTCCACAGAACGGGCCGACCCGAGGTGGGGGAGGAAAAGCTCGGGCGCTGTGGCTCAGGTGGACAAACTGCCCACAAAAACAGGAGATATGGCTCCTGCCCAGGGGGCACTGGGTGGGCTCATTTTGAAAATAACCCCCACTGACCTGCATTGGAGGAGGTCCAGTGGTGGGGAGGGGAGGAGAAAAAACCAAACCAACCACAAAAATAACCAAAATCTCACAAACAACAACAACAGTAACAAAACAAAAAAAAAAGACACAAAAACCCCAAACAAACAAACAAAACCACAAAAAAGAACACCAAGAAAAAAAAAACAAACCCCTCAAACAAGAAGAAAAACACCAGCCCAAGCAGCAAAGCTGCAATAGAGGCCGCTTTACAGAATTGAGAGTTTTCTCTCAATTTCCTGTTGCTCCTAAGAAAAACACTGTTAAACAAATTCCTGCCAGATGGCCCACAGCGAACACCCTAAGAAAGCCTGGGGAAAGAAGGCTTTTTAAGTTGATCTGCACAAATGTCACAGTTACAATTTCTTGAAAGCAAATTACAGGCGCACGTGATTTGTTAGAGCTGTTAACGCACGCTCTCACAGTAGCTGGCATCCCAAAAGCTGAAATCTTAACTAGAAGTTCTTTCTAGCGCGTCTCCAGTCATTAAAGCAAACCGGAGACCCAGGAAATCTGCACGCGATGTCGCTGTCAACCCGGAGCGTGTCCCTCTCCTCGTAAGGCCTTCTCCTCCGTTCCAAGACCCCGATAGAGACTACTTTTTGTCCCTGTACCACGCCGAGGGGTGAGGCAAGGAGCCGCCCTGAAGAACTGGGCGATAAAAGGGAATGTGGAAGATGGGGGGCGGAGGAGTTGGGCAACCCCCGCGGATGCCCGAGGCTGGCAGGGGTTGTTCTCGCCCCGGTGCCGGTGGTCGCCTGACCCGGAGATGGGGCCCCAGCAGAGCCTGGCTCTGGAGACATGGAAACAACGCATTCCCACGCCTTCCGCAACCCTCCACACCCACCTGGGCGCCCGGCAGCAGCATGCAGCCCCCCCTCCAGCCCCAGAGGACAAGCAGCCCAGCAGCTCTCCATTCCTGAAGGTGTCCCGTCTGTGAGGATGCCGTGTGTTTGTTCTCCTACGGGACCCACAGCGGGTAAGGCTGCCCTTCACGACAGGGCTGCGCAGGCGGCACAGGGTGGGGGGCCGAAGAGACCTGCGGGCACGGGGAGGGGGTTCCCGGGCAGCGGAACCCTTCCCGACCAATTAGCAAGCCATGGGGAATGGGGATCCCCAGGCGGCATGCCGGTTGGGGAGTAAAGCTATGCCAGCGAAAAAGTCCAAGTAAAAACTTTTGTAGAGCGAAGGGAAAAATCTCTCTCCGTGATGACAGTGACCCGCGACCAAGCTGCAGGGTTCTGCCGTACGGGACACCTGCCGAGGGCCAGCGCGCCCCGTGGGCGGCTGTAAATGGGGACTTCACGGCACGGATACTGTCAACCACCCTCCTGCCTGCCCGACACGGGCCACGGCTGCGCCGGGCTACCTAGCAGAGGTACGTAGGGGGTGTCCACCCACCCTCTACCTTGGGCTGTGTCGCGGCCCCCGCGGGTGCGGGAATCACGCCGCCAGCAGCCACGCCGGCAGGCGGGTGCGAGCCATCAACTTTCTCCCCCGGACCGTCTCCTCCAGCACGAAACCTTCTCTCCAGCCCCCTCCGCAGCAGCTCTCCCAAAAAAGAGCCGCCCCCCCCGGCCCGCTTACCTCGCATGGTGTTGGCTCCCCGCTCCGCGCAGTCATGAAGCTGGGAGCCCGGGAGCCGCACCGCACAGATCCCGTCTCAACACCCGCGAAGGCGGCAGCCGCCGCAGCTCTGCTCTGCCGGGAAAACCATACCTCCGGGGCGGCTCCGCGGGGCGCGGCTCCGCGGGCTGCCCGCCACCGGGCGCAATCCTCCGGGGCGGCCGCCCCGCGACTGCCCTCGCGGAGTCTCTGCGGGGGTCGCCCGGGCGGCGGAGCGGCGGCGGGTGGCTGAGCAGGGGAGGAGGAGGAAAGGAGTTACGTTAGGAAAAAACAGGAAAAACACGCGGAGGCAGAAGAGAGGGGGGTGCGCGTGGATGGCAGAGCATGTGCGCTTTCACATGACAACGGCGCCCCTCAGCAGCTCCCCGGTGCGGATTTCCACTGCGCAACCACAGGGACGCGCGGAGAGAAAATGAGACCCAGTGAGAAAGCGGCAAAGCGGCTTATAGCGGGGGGTGGGCGGTGCCGCCGGCACAGCCCCGCCCGCTGTCAGCGCCGCCGCCAATCGCCGCGGCCCGCCCGGCACCGCCGCCGCGGGTGGCCCCGTGTGCCGCCGCCGCCACCTCCGGCCCCGGCCCCGGCCCCGGCCCCGGCCCCGGCCCCGGCCCCGGCCCCGGCCCCGGCCGCGCAGGGTGTGCGCGGCTCCAGGGACTCCGCGCCGCGCTGGCCCGCCCCTCACCGCCCGTTCGCGGAAACTTTTGCTCCCCCTGGGAGTTCTTGGCCGCTGGCGGGTCTTGTCCGGCAGCCGAAGCTGGGCGTGGTGGTAATGAGAAATGAGTCTGGTCTGCAGAGATCTGGAGTTTGTGGAGAAAAGTAACTGGCGCAGAAAATCAATCACCTCGTGTGCCGTTGTTAGTGGGGAGGCAGTGTCTCCGGGGAGAAAGATGAAAGCGCTCGGTCTCCCCGCCGTGACCATCATCGGGGAACCGCATTTTGCGACGAGAGTGGGAAAGTTTCGTGGTGAGTCATTTTCTCATTAAAGAGCCAATCTGGACGTCGAAAGCAGTTTGTTTTCCCTGTGTGAGACTAGCAAAAGGTTCTGCAAAAACGGGTTTGTTCCACAGGCAGCATGACTTTTTCATGACTTAAAACTCCCTCTCTTATTAATTGATGTTTTCCCCTACGGAAAAAAAAAAAAAAAAAAAACCAAAAACCCCCCAAACCAAAAAAAAAAAACAACCAAAAAGAAACCAAGAAGGCAAACCAACCAACCAAACAACCCCTCCAAAACTCCGGGAGCTTTTCAATTTGGGGGATCGGGATCGGGGGGGGGGGTTGTTGGTTTTTATGATTTTGAGTTTTTTTCAGCTGTATGGTAAATCATGCAACACAACCACAGCACATCTCAGTGAATCATCTTAAAAATAAGTTCTTGGTACCAAGGTTCACAGTTCCTAACTCCAAGCCTAAAATGAAAAAGAAAACCCCTGATTTAACTGAAGTATATCCATACAAAATTATTAATATCGACCTCATAAAATGGGTTGTATTTTTTATACTCTTAAGTTAAATATGGATCTGCCAAAATAGATTTGTTCTTTCCTACATGAATTATCAGACTAAGTTCTGTTAGGTCTGTTATGCAAGAGATCAAAGGTAAGATCTCTTTTGTTCTGAAAAAGTTAAGATTTATTTTAGGAAAGAGGCAAAGTGAAGTGTCCACTCATGGTGCAAACTTGCAACATTTTATTTCTGGGAAACAAGGTTACAGGTTTAGAGGAAGCAGTTCTAGTGGTTAGCCTCTTTGAAAGCACCTGTTTGAACTGAAACTGAGACAGACATGAAGAATCAGCTCTGCCAGTATTGAAAACATCTTGATTTACCTGAACCATGGTGAATTTTAACTGCATCCACTGTAGTGAAGACGGTCAGTTAAAAATAAAAATTTCATCCCTAATTCCTAAGATACTAGACGGGATTTTTATTCTTCACAATTGCATTTATGCATTTTATATACTGCATGCAAAGTTGTTAATACTCATGTAGGGCATTTTCTTAAGATCTCGTCCAGAAACTCTTACCAAATATTTGTTTTTTACTGTACTTATATCAGCATATCTTCCGATATCAGTTACATGTTCTCCATCTTCACACTTCACAAGACCAGGAATTTACAGTGGCATATTTTCTTTTTAATTGGGATTTTAGCAGATGTGGTTGGCAGCAGTCAGGCTTGCCCCTGGGACTCTCTTCTGTGGATTTTCCCACCAGCCATCTCTTCAGCCCATTCATCATGTTCAAAAGTTTTTGAGGTAATTGCAATAAAACAACTTTCACACATCACTTTGCAAAGCAAGTTAGGAAGTATGGGATCTTCATCTCGTCTCATAATAGGTATAATTTACCTAATATCTAATATGGAATTTAAGTGAAAGATTAATGAGCTCCTGAATAGTGCTTGTGGCTTTAGAAAAGCAACTTGGGAGAGAGAGCAAAGATTCCATCTACTTGGTGTATTGCAACTAGGACACTTTTTTTTTTCCCTACTAGATACTCTCCTAGCAGCAGGAAGAAAATGCAGATGAATTTCAAGAGGAGGCAATGGCTATTTTTTCATATTCTGAGTCTTGTTGTTCTTGTTTATGCCAATATGATTTTTAGATTTAATTGTTCTAAAGCTGCATCTTAACATCAGTCGAAACTTTGACTGGTAAATAACAAGCTGTCTACTTGCTATACAGTTCATTCAGAGTACCTTACTCTCTTGCACTGCTGCATCTTTATTGGGAATTTATATTGCTTTTGACAATGGAGGAGAAAAATGCCATTATTTTCTCTTAGCTTGATTTGATTTTGATTAAAAGCCTTTTTCTTTTTTTTTTTTTCTGTCTACAAAACTGACATATTTTGCCCCCTGGATTTCATTTATTTTTCTCACTACCATACAGACTGGCAATTTTTATTTAGCTATTTTCAGAAGTCCTGGTAGATTTTTAGTTAATTTATCTGTCTTGTTCTAATATATTTTATATACAATGATGTCTGAGCCAACGTCTTCACTAGCTGGAGCAAGTTGTTAAATTTGAAATTTATTCTAATATTTAGGATATTATCTGCTAAGCACTAGTAATGGTGGCAATAAAATGCTACACATATGTGAGCTTAAGTGAGAACCAGGCAAATTATAAACGCTTTATTTCAAAATACAGGGCTGCTTTAAACTTTTATATGCTGAAGCAGGTTAACAACACACAAGAAAGCCACATGATCTGGGGTCATACAGGAATTTATAGAATATCTAAAAAACGAACACATATCTTCAGGAGCTAAATAAATTGAGTAGTACAATTCAGCCCACTATTCTTGTAAGATGTTAGTTATCCTAGATTTCAAAGAGATCCTTTTCAGGTTTTTCTTATTTTAGATGAGTGCTTCAGAGAAAAAGTTTAGAAAACACCAGAGAAAAAGAGTTAAAATATTAGAAATAATTTGGTTTACTTTAAAATATAAATAAATATTTTATAGATAAAAAAGCATATTATTGCTATTATATATTCTCACTGCAGAATAACAATAAGAAATGGCCTTTCACAACATTCACTTGCATTAGCTCCTTTCCCAAGGCTCTTTGGATGACAAATCTTCTAAGACAATATTTAAGGCCACATAGTTTTATCATTTTAATAATTTGCGATATGTTCATTAGAGCTGCAGCAAGTTATGCCTAAATTTAGTTGCTTCATTAAAAAGTACTGAATAGAAAATGGTCAAAACAAACTGTGTCAGGCAGGCCCCATTTCATTCCCCCGGTATCAGTGGCTAATTTGTGTTGACATGAAAGGATGCCAGACGCATCCCATAGCCCAAATTTATTTCTTAGGTTCAATAGGAACAAAATTGATCACAATTTGCTTCATCTCATCTGTGTCCAGCCAATACAACTTCATTGCCAGACATTCCTAACTTTATTTAAGTCATGAGGAAGACTTTCTAATTTTTCATTTTATGACTTCTGCATGGAATTATTGACAGACTGAGGAATCTGAGCTCTCTCACAGATTCTTCACTTCAGATTTACTTTCTAAATTTTTTCCTATTTCTTTATGCTTGAAATCAAAAAATATGCATATACACTATACTATCTTTATCTTCTATAAAACCTTTTAACCATCAGGTAATTTTAAACTGTTTCCACAGAATATTATTTAATTCAAGAACTGTGCATTTTCTTCCAAACCAGTAAAATGGTTTTAAAAGCAGACCTAGAAAGTCCTGACACAATCAGAAGCAACATTTAGCAATTGAAAATCTTTAATTATGCCAATTTAGTTTTAGAGGCTAAGCATGTAATGCATTATGCATGACAGGATAACCAGAAACTTGAAAAAGTTAAAACGAAAAACCATACTTGACTATTTCCTCTCTCTTCTGAGAAGAAAAGCAATCCCTAGCCACAAAGAAGGAATTTCAACTCCTGCAAATACTTCTTGACATTTAAAAACTGATGTTTTCTATAATACTTGAAATTTATTATAAAATTTACATAGTTGATATAAAAATTTTATTCTTACAAATGTGTTGGTTTTTTAAGTGTTACTGAACCCACTTTCATTCTGTATGTTCTACCCTACCCTAATGCCAGAAGTTGTATAGTGACTTCCCCTGCTTTATGTACAGTATCAATGACTGGATCGTTTTATTGAATGTCCCACTTCAATATATCTTTGGACAAAAAAGGATGAGATACTAAGACAGCATCACCACCCCACCCCCGACGTTTACCTAAAATGTTCAGCAACTGAAAAAACTATCTGTAAGGATATAATTGCTGGTCAGAGCTGCATTAACCCTAGAACACCACAAACTTGAAATTATAGTTTGGGTTATAAAATTCAGTCAGAGAAGGAACTAAATTTGACAGTAGTACCTATGCCCAAATAACCTGGAGTTTGCTCTGGGGAAACTGCAGCATATTTGAATATTGATGAAGGGAGGAGACAGCAGTGAAAGACTGTCTTCCTGCAGCAAAAAGCTTCCAAGAGGCAATGACCTTCTGAGATTTGTGTCCACTTTCTCTTTCCTTGGCAGGTCCAAGAGGTACTAACTTGTTTTGAGGCAACCCAAGACCAAGAATGGTCTTCAGTGAAGGAGACAGAAAAATGAGAAGGAATATCTGGGCAAAATAAAATGCTTTGGAAAAGAAGCAAGAGACAGAAGACCTACCTTCAGATCAGTGCTTCAAATCCTCCTTCTAGCAGCCTCTGAGGCACCAGAGGCTAAAGCTCGGGAAAAAGAACCTGAGTATCTTTGAATGTGTATTGCTCTCATGAAGTAACTTACAGGCGAGGATGTATTACAACCAATGATTTTTCCGTTTAAATGGATGGTGACCTCCCAGCTAAACATTCTTTTTGCCTAATGGAAGCAGTCTGATTTTTCAAATTTTTTG